TAGATTCAGAAACCAAGTTAGTGAAGGATTGTATGATAAAATGGACACAAAACTTTGGGGAATCAATAACCATGGATGTATGGGAGAAAATATGGGTTAGAAATGTAAAATTTACTCAAGCCCAAAACCTGAGAGAAAATTTTTACAAAATGTTTTATAGATGGCATTTAGATCCCAAAAAGTTAGCTTGTATGTACCCAAGTTTACAATGTACGTGTTGGAGATGTAAATGTGATGATGCAACGTATTTTCAGATATGGTGGACATGTAAGAAAATTAAGGCATTTTGGATTAAGATATGGTGGATTATACAAAATATTCTTAAAAGGAAGATAAAATTTACTCCACAGTTGTTTTTATTGGGTATAACTGTAGACTGTACAGTTATAGAAACTAATCTGTTTTGAATTTAACAACTGCAGCCAGACTTTTGGTGGCGCAATATTGGAAGAAGCAAGAACTACCTACTATTGAAGAATGGACATTAAAAGTAGCTAATTTGGCAGAGATGGCTAAAATCTCTGCATATTTGAAGGATCGTTCAAATGAAAGATATGTACTGGAATGGAGAAGATGGATTGACTATATACAAAACAAATATGGGACTAAAAAGTTGCAAATAGCTTATGAATGAAATATGTAGATGATTTTTCTTTTTACTCTGACATTTTGGTACTTATGGGGGAGTTAAAGAGTAAGGGGGAGTTAAGAGCTTATAGTTAGTTTGTTTATGTTAGATTATGTTTGCTAAATGCAATACCCTGTATTTTGCTCTGGGAAGTCGGGGGGGGGGGAGGGAGAAGGGAATAGGTGGGGGGAGGAGGGGGGGAAATTTGTTTGTAAAACATTTTAAAACATTTCAATTAAAAAAAAGTTATATAACATTGAAGAAATGGTGAAATTGAATCATTAAAAGAAAGGATGCAAAAGGAGAGACAAAATGAAATGTGAATGACAAAAATTAAAATAATTGATTAATTATTTTAAATAATTAAAATTGTTGAATTGTCCCATGGCAAGTTAGCTATGGTGAGCTGGCCATGGTGAGTTGGTCATGGTGAATTGGCAGCAGTGAGTTGGCCATGGCAAGTTCGCCGAGGTGAGTTGTCCCATTCCAAAGCGAAAGGAAGTTGAACTTTTAAAAAAAGTTAAGAGAGACAGCTTCAGTAATAAGGAATACTTTTTCTCTACATGTATGTAGGTGCAAGGAGAGGAGAAAGGAGTATTCAGAAAGTGATGGATAGGGTAAGAATAAAAATGACAGAAATACCCCAAAGCATCCTGGATGATGAAATGTATGGGGTTTTGTGTGTGTGGAGGGAGAATAATATATCTGCAACTTTTAAGTTAAGACAGAAGATTGCTCAAGACCCTAAGAACACCCTGATTTCTAGGAAACCAAAGAGACAGATGGGCTCATATGGTGCAAGAATATTTAAATTTTCATTTCACTTCTGTATAGATTTGATGACAACTATTAGTTAATCTCTATATTTATTTTACTGTATTCTATGCAAAGCAATCAAAATAGATAATCTAGCAAGCATTTAACATAAAGAAAGATATTGATTGCTTTGTTGGAATCAAAGACAAAATCAGGAAAGAAAAGAAGGTGGAAAGTTGATAGTAATACACTTTAGCTACAGTCCCTTAAGCATAATTTCTTCAAGCCATATACAATTTAATTGCGGCCAAAAAGTTCTGTGGTTAGGATGAATTAATGCTTATATAGACACAGTAATGTGTATTGAGAGTTTTGCGTCATTTTGGGCATTCAAAGAGTTGGTTTCATAGCTCCCATAATAGATTTCATGGAAAGTGCAAAAGTTACCAGTTTTATGAATTGTCACAAAGAACTAGACCAGACAGTGGAGTTTTTATAGTTTCTTAGGTTTCCTGGAAAGTTGTCTGCTGGGTCACGTGAACTTTCAACATATCATTAAGCCAATTATTGAATACACCGAATCATGGAGTTGGAAACAATCTCAGAGATTGAATTCAACCTCCTGCTTAAGCAGGCTCTGTTAATGCATTTCAGAAAGATGACTATCTTGCTTTGGTTTGAAGTTCTCCAATGAAGGAGAACCATTAAGGGACAGTTCTTGTCATCAGAAAAGTAGTTATAATAGTTAATCTGAAATTATTTCTTTATAATTATATTATACTTTAGTTCTGGTTCTGTCCTCTTGGGCAACACACAAACATTTTCAGTCCCTAATATATATGACAACTTTTAGAAAACTGAAGACTCTTGTATTTGCTCAGTCCTTTCTTCTGTTGGCTAAACATATTTTGTTTTTCTTACAACTTGCTTCCATATCCTACATGATCTGGATTACCCTGAATTTGCTCCAGTTTGTCAATGCCTTTTTCAGACTGAAGTTCCGAGAAATGGACATAGTATTTTGAGTGGGGCTTGGCCAAGGTAGAATGGAATAATTTATTCCCAGGGATTCCGACTGTATCAATGCATTCCAAACTAGTATTTTCCTTTTTAGTAACTGGCTCTCTTTACCCAATTTTCCACAAGTATACCCAGATTTCTTTCACATAGAATCAACTACCACCAAGTCAGTTTGCCCCAATTATATAGTGTTGATTTTATTTTTCCTCCCTAAAAACAGGACATTGCATTTATCTTTGTTAAATTTCAGCCTGGTTTTTGACCAACTCAAGCATATTTAAATAGTTTGAATCTTTTCTTTCTCTTCTAAACTGTTAGCTACTCCTCCTAATTTTGTGTTGTCTGAAAATTTGATACCCATCTTCTCAACCCTCATGTAATTAATCCAAATATTGAACACTACAGGACTCAGAACAGCTCTGTGGCATTCTACTAATGTGAAGCCATGTTATTTCACTTATCTTTAACATACACATTAAACTAAGCCATTATCCACTGGGAAAGAAATAATTCTAAGAGAAGAAAATGAATCAATCTGTGTAATCATCTTGCAGCAGCTAACTAGGTGGTCTATTGTTTCTTCAGCTTCTTTGTAGAGGTGGCATTTGCTGTCTGTTTTTCCTTGTCGATAGCTTTGTTTTTCTTTCAAATCGATACACATGTAATTTTGGGAAGACAGATTATTGTGAAGAATATCTTAAATATAATTATTTTAATTACTTTTTGGATTTGTTACTTTTAATTCATTTTATTTACAATAATATACTTAGTTTCTTTTCCACTGTGCCAATACCTAATGTGGACCCTTTTCTTATATATTTTATAATTTTAGGAAGAATTAACTTTCTCTGATTTTAATTAAATGAGAATTGACTCAGTAGTTAGAATTTAAAATATGGAGAGTAATCTTCTCTGTTTGTGTATGCAGCAATTCTTAATTGTTTATGAACCTATAAAACTAGATTACAGTGTGATCTGAACAGATTCCAAATGCTTTAAGTTCTGATGACTCAGTGATTTTCTAGTCACAATGTGTGAAGAGCTATATAAAAATTGTGACATGCACACACTCGTTATCACGGTCCTTTGCTTTAGACTCTCTTGTACTGTAGGCAGAGGTGGAGAATATAGCTCAGTTTCTAGGTTTCTGGTTGAACTCCTGTTCAAAAAAATACAACATACTGCCTAATTAAAAGGAGGCAAGTTTAGATCACGCAATAAAAAAAATGATAAGGGCTGGTTTCGTCACATTGGGAGGATCATTCTTTAATAAACTGAAAGTTTACAACATGCCAGTAATTATCTTAATATGAATTCAAACTTACTTTATGAAAGTTTCTATTATATAATGGATAATGGAAGATCTTACAGTAGTAAAACCAACAACAAAGTTTTCCAGTGTAGGCAGTTCTAATTGATAAAAGGAAGAGGAGACACATTGACTCTCTGAAACCTAGTTTGTTGTTGTACTTGTCTATACAGTATTTGTCTGAAGGAGAGAGGGGGTAGGGTCACTCTCTGACACAGAGTTCCCTGAGGAATATCCATTTTATATCTACAAAACTATAAATTGAAGGATTTATATGAGGACATTTTATATAGAGCTTTTACCTATCCTAAGATAATTAGAGAGTAATAGTAGTAGTTGTAGTAGTAGCAGTTTTATTTGGACATATTATCAGTATGTAGGTTATCACTTTTAGTTAGAGTTCTGTAAACTCCTACTTGTTTCACACACCCATGTTTCATATTTCAAACACCATAAAGCCTTCCTCATCATACAGACTGATGCAACAGATCAGTTAAACAAATGGGTTAACACAGTCTTTCCCAACCAAATATTATTTAGACATATGAGGATTGCAATTCCCAGAATTTCTTGCCAGCATTACTGAAAATGCACAATGTTATTAAAGCTGAGGTGTGCAAAGGTTGATTAAAAATTCAATTAGTTGTCACTGAAAACATGGCTTAAAGTTCTGGTTGAGAACTGGCTTAAAAAAACGTGGCTTAAAGTTGGTAGATTTTTTTTTAAAAAAACCCACTCACTCTCAGTGATACTGGGCAGCTTACAAAAATGTGTATATTATGTTTACTAATAGTACTGTCTTTTTGTTACTTTAAACATGTTTTAAACGATGCTGATGAGATTACTGGAGTAAACTATATATGGTATTTACACCATATGTTTGTATAAATGTGATTTGAAGTGAAGAAACGGATGTTTAAAGAACACTTCAAGTTTTATTTCAGCGCTATGAAAGGAGTGATTGTGATAAATGTTTTTATTGACCTACTCTGATCCACCAATAGCAAAACTTTGGATCTTAAAAGTCATTCTTAAATTATATTCTGATTAGAGTGCTGCCGTTGCACTCCCTTTGGAATGGAGTGTATCAGCTCCATTGATGCTTGTGGAGAGTATAAGATATGGGGTCTTTTCCATTTCACTATCTAGGCATGGAGAGCATCTCACTACAGGATAATGCCAGCTATACTAGTTGTCTATTCATTTTTGTATGCAGTACTGCTTTTTAAAAATTCCTTTAGTATTATTCTGCCCCAGCTCCGGATCCCAAGGAGTGTGACACAAAGCTCCAAAAACTCCGTTTAATACAAACAGACCCCTTTCAAAATGCAGGCTTTCAGTGCAAATGTCCTTATCAGCCTGCTATGAATTACAGAGAATAAACAAAGTCCGACAAGGGTTGGCAACCAGCCCAGAAACCACGATATAACAAGAAACTCACTCTCAGAATGCTCTGCGTAGTAATTAAACATTGTTTACAGCAGTGTGCGCTATCTGTGAGCGAACTTAAATAGGCTAAGGGAATGGTCAATTAGCCCCAAGCCTTACTCTCGAGGAGACCTCCTACTGAGTAGCTACTCCTGCCTTTTGGCAGCCCTGCGTGCTCGAGCATTGAGAAGAGGTTCCTCTACTTCATCCTCTTCACTTGAAGGAGCCTCTGGAGGTTCTGAAGGCCCTGGCTGAGTCTCTGCCTCTGGCACCACATCTTCTTCAGCCTCCTCGCTGTCTGACTCGAGCGCTGGCTGACAGGCTGCTGGCGCAACTCCATACCAGCCTCCTCATCGTCGGGATCAGCCACAATCTGTGCAGGCTGCTGGCGGGCCACAACAAGTATATTAGGACTTAGTGGATGTTTGAACATAGATGAGACTGGGGTTTTTTTTTTTTGAATGTTCAATATTTTTCCATAAATATGACCTAACTAATATATGATCTGTTCTCCATAGAAATCTTAAAACTGGGTAAAGAAAATCCAATTAAATGAATCAAAAATATATTGTTCAAAAATAGAAGAAAACTATCCAAAGCTGCATATTTGTACGTAGTAAAAAAAAACAAAAACAACAACAACAGGTGAACCTTTGCTTTCAATAACAAGTGTGCTCCCTTCCCCCGGACAGCAATAATTGGAACTAAATGTTTCCAATAACTGTTGATCAGTCCTGTGCAAATATTGGTTTAGTTTAGAGGAATTTCAGCCCATTCTTTCTTACAGAACAGCTTTGAGAATCAGGAATGCTGGTGGATTTCTTCGAGTTATTAAATGTCTTCTGTTTTAATAATTCTTTGCTTGTCCTTCATAGATGTTTGGGCAACAAAATAGGATCATATATTACAACTCATTAGACACATCCTCAACTTATGACTACAATTGGGTTCAGAACTTTAATCGCTAAGTGACGCAGTTGTTAAATGTGTCTGATTTTATTAGCTTTTTTCCTCCATGAACATTAAGCAAATCTGGCTTCCCCCTTTGACTTTATTTGTCGTGGAATGGCAATCACATGACCCTGAGATGCATGCTGGTTGCTAAACACTTGACTGCAATAATGCTGCACTGGTTGTAAGTGTGAGGACCAATTATAAGTAACTTTTCAGGGCAGTGTCATAACTTTAAAAGGTCACTGAACAAATGGTCATAAAGTTGAAGACTACCTGTATATTACCTGAAGACAGTAATTATCTAAAGCCAAGGAGACAATTTCAAATGTTTTCTTTTTTTTAGGTTTGTAGATATTTACTGATTTGGAGATTACATAACATAACTTGAATTCGTGTTGTTGCCTGTTATATGATACTGGACCAGTTTCCTCTTAATTTACTTTGATGTGGAAGGATATTAATCTACTAAGAAAAAGAAGAGAAGATATAATTAACATTGCATTATCTCTACCATAAAGCATGATGGCCTCTGGAACTTTTGACTCATGTCTGTAAGAAAAGAACAGAATTACTTATGATCTCTAAGCCTAAAGGATGGGACAGTAACTCTAGTAGCACAGAGGTCTATTGTAGCATGGATATATTCATAACATGAAAGGTAGGAGATCTCAAATGTCCCCCTCCTGGCTCTACACTCAATGTTGCTCTGACTCTTGTTGTGGTTTAGTGGCTTAGTGATTACTCTTGGTACCACCTCTTCCAAGGAGACATCTCTCCTGCTGTTTTCCCTGTATCAGTGGCACGTGAGAAAGACTGGGCTCCCATGAACTGTACTGCTCTCCTGGTAATTACAAAGTAAAAATAAGATAATTGTAGTAGCACCACTCCTAGCTATACAGTGTGGAGCTGTGTGATTAAGATATTAATCTTCTTCCTCTCCAACACTTTGGAAGATAGATCAAACTCACAAGTGATAAATAAAACCAAACTTTATTTAAAAATAATCAAATGTGAAAGCCTTGTTTAATTTTAAACATTAACATGCAAATAATCAAAGGTAAATGATCATATATGCTGAACGGCTTCACAACTATTAATTTTCAGCCAAAGAATATACAACCATGTGCTGCAGCTGCCAAAAAGCCAATGCAGTCCTAGGCTGCATCAACAGGGGAATAGTATCAAGATCATGTGAAGTATTAGTACCGCTATATACCGCCGTGGTGAGACCACACTTGGAATACAGCATCCAGTTCTGGTCACCATGACACAAAAAAGATGTTGAGACTCTAGAAAGAGTTCTGAGAAGAGCAACAAAGATGATTAGGAGGCTGGAGGCTAAAACATATGAAGAATGGTTGCAGGAACTGGGTATTTCTAATGAAAAGAAGGACTGGAATGACATGATAGCAGTTTTCCAATATTTGACAGTCTGTCACAAAGATGAGGGGGGCAATCTATTCTTTCCAACCGAGATGACAGGGGCAGGTCTTAGTTCCATTGTGTGGGATGAGTTTGAGCCTGTGACTCCTGAGGAAGTGGACAAGGCTGTAGGAACGATGAGTTCCTCCACTTGTTTGTTGGACCCATGCACTCCTGGCTGGTTTTGGCCAGCAGGCAGGTGACACGAGGCTGGCTCCAGGCTTTAGTTAACACGTCCTTGAGGGAAGGGGCCTTCCTGCAACCATTAAAGGAAGCGGTTGTAAGAAGCCTCCTCAAGAAGCCTTCCCTTGATCCAGCAGAATTAAAGAACTTTCGTCCAGTCTCCAACCTATCCTTTGTGGGAAAGGTTGTAGAGAAAGTGGTGGCACTTCAGCTCCTGCAGGTCATTGGAGGAAATGGATTATTTAGACCCTTTTCAGTCTGGCTTCAGGTCTGGCTACAGCACGGAAACTGCTTTGGTCATGCTGATGGATGATTTCCGGCGAGCCCGGAATAGATTGTGACCAACTACTACTCTAAGCAATTTTTCACACATTTTATTACCAGGCCAAGTACTGCTCTTACTGTAAATGTGCATTTGATTTTTCCTCATTACATTTGACTCTGTTAAATTTAATTCTGTTATATTTAGCCAATTATAATTTTGAATCTTGTGTTTTTAGAATATTAGCTGTTCCATCCAGTTTTGCATCATCTGATAAGCTTTTAATCCACCTCTTTCTCTGAATCCTTACAGTGTTGAAAAGTACTCGGCTCAGAACCAAGATCTGTGTCATCTCATGCCAGATTTAGGTTGAAACCACTTTTCAACAATTTAAGTATGATTTTTTTAAGCAACTTGTGGATCCATCCAATTATATGCTATCCAGGTAATATTTAACTATTGTGTTAATCAAAATGTTGCTATTTGGTATAATGTTTTGCTGAATTGCAACATGTTATGTCTACACTAGTCCCAGATCCTACTAAGGAAATTATCTGATGAAAAATGTAATAAGATTAGCCTGACAAGACCTGTTCTTGACAAAACCATCACAGATACTAGCTATTACTGGATTATTTTCAAGTTGTTTACAAACCAATCACTTTTTAATCTTTTCTGTAGTTCTGTAGTTCCCTAGATCCTTCTTACCTTGCATTTGTCATCCTCTAGTTATCTGGCATGTTATCAATTCATGAGTTTTTCTTAGATGAATTGGATCAGCAAGATTGAAGCTCTTGGAGATGTGAAACTCTTCAAGGTCAATACATACTCCCTGACTATATTTCTATCAAACACAGGCTACAATCTCTCTCCCCCATCAGCGCTTCAGGACTGTTCCATGGACACATATCCTCTTTTGAGGTCTTTTCATAGAAGAGTGAGGATCTCATTGTTGGAATGTAAAGACTGCCTGCAAATTAAACCTTTGGAGCACGAAGCTTCAGCTTACTGGAAAAAAACAGAAAGTTCATTTGAAAATAAATGAAACAACAACAACAACAACAACAATCCAGCTAATTCTAAAGGATAAATCAAAGCCTGGTATCAAGTAGCTTTTCTCTTCTTAATCAGTTGGTACATCATATACACCAGTGGTCGGTTTCAAAAATTTCTTCTACTGGTTCTGTGGGTGTGGCTTGGTTGGCATGGGGAATTCTAGGAGTTGAATCCACCTGTCTTAAAGTTGCCAAGGTTGGGAAACACTGGTTAGATGAAATGAACTGAGGATATCCAGTCTCTCACTTTGACCTCTTTGCTGCTAGGTCAACCAATCTTTGACTTTCGAACAAGGAAGTCAGTCAGGCTGAAACTGAACAGAAGCAGTTAACAGGGCAATATTTTGTTGCAGTATTTCAATCCTAACTCTGGGGATAAGCAAGCATAATCTTTACATGGTCTCTTATTAGAGATTAGGCCTCTGATTAGGCTGGAATTTCATTTGCACCCTTGGAGCAAAGTGTCTCTCCAAGTCAGAAACCACAGCAATTTTCCAGCTCTACTTAAGCTCCTCTTGATAATTACAGCCATGTACCTGCTTCCATGCACTGGAAGCACTGTGCCACCACCTGGCACCAAGCCCAAGTTATTTCTAAGAAAACTGACACTGTTGAACAGCTATAGTAGTATACTCACCCTAGAGAAACCCATCTACTAGCAGCTGCTGGGCAAACAAAACCCAACCTCTGCACATTTATTGTCGAAAACCACTATTTACCGTACTTTCTTATCCTTAATTCTACAAGGAACTGAAATCTGTGCCAACTTGTACCAACAGCATAACATGTCATGTAAAATGATAAAACATTATTATTACCTGCCTGCAAATTTATGACACAATTACTAAGTCTTAGAGAGCTTGTAGTTAAACTATAAAGGCTTTCCTTGTTAGAACCTCCTCTCAAGGGACATCTGATGGGTTTGGGAATGTCACAGCACTTATAGGCTGCCATGTTAATATATCTTATGAAAGGCATCTGCTATCTTTTGCCAAAAGTACATTAGATGTTATGGTACACACTGTAATGAAAAGACAGGTTGTTCTTTAACAATGCACTTTGGCAACGAACCCCATCTCGTGCACGAAGAAATGGCAATTCCATTTGTGTCCTTAAAGTAGGGTCAGCATTTGTGGTATCATTTTACAGATCATTGGCACAAGGTTGAGGAAATGAATGTTACCAGAAGGAAGAAAACAGAAGAATGCAGTACAGCGATACAGGCAGCATGTACCAGTGGAAAGTTATATTTGGATCCAGCTCCAAATAAGCAATGAACATATTGGGCAGATTTTTTAAAAATGCAAACAGCTGAATATAAAAGAGTGCTTTTTTCATCCCTAAAATAATGCACTGGAAAAAAGCAACATGCCATTTTATAATAGTATTTATCAAAAGGAATATTAAGCAGCAAAATTCAATACTGATACATTATCAGTATACAAAATTCAATACTGATACATTATCAAGCATAATGTATCAGTATATTACTTTGAAGCTTCCCTCTGATGTGTACTAATTACTGATACATACGTACTTTGTTCTTTTGTTCAGCAAATTCAATTCCTGCTTCTCAGTACCTGGTTTACAGATCAAAAACTCTAAATAGGCAAATCCTTAAATAGCAATTAGAAGAAAATGGAAAGGAAAGGAAAAATAATCTCTAAATTTCTCCTTATGATTTAAAAAAATGTTTCAGTATCTCATGTTTCTGTAAAAATATTTTATTCTGTATTCATAGTATTTTATTCTTAACTCCATTCTATACTTTTAAATTTAGAAATGTAAAGCAATTATAAGATCCAGAACAATAGCAATTATACATTGGATAGAAATGCTATGTCTCTTACGTAACAACTGGAATAATCACAAAATAACTTGAAAATTTGAAGTAAGTCATCCTCAGCAAAATGCAAGCTAGCAGATGTTATCAAGAGACATCTGGCTTTCTGAGAAAATACCCTTAGAAAGCACTGTAAACACTTCCAGAGTTGGGAGACAGAACTAGTCATGATCCTTGGCGATCTTCTTTCCTATGTTTTTGAATATGCAGAAACCTTGGCCTGGATAGAAATAAGACAAACCACAACATTAAATCTTACTAAAAAGAGTATAGAAGTTAAAAAGGGAGCTTTGTAGCACTTTAAAGACAAGTACATTTTACAGTATGAGCTTTCTTGAATTTATTAGATGTTGAAAGTTTTATAATCCCTTAATAATATGTAAGAATGGTTTTAACTAAGAGCTGTAGGTTACAAAGAATTCATTTTAAATCCCCTAGTACAGGGGGTGTCAAATTTGATTTCATTGAGGGCCACATTGGGGAGCCAAGATGAGCATGGCCAGCTTGAAGTCACTCATGTCGGGGGCACCTGTGGGGCCCAAATGCTCTGCCAGTGAAAATGGGCTCCTGAGCTCTGTTTTCGGCTGGGATGGCCTCCTGCAACCCTCTGCAAGTGAAAACAGAGCTGCGGGGGCCACACATGGCCCTCCCAAGCTCCATTTTCAGCTCAGATGGCCTCCTGAAACCTTCTGCCAGTGAAAATAGAGCACGGAGCCCTCCCAAGCTCCATTTTTGCTGGCAGAGGCACCACGGGCGATCTTTTGCTGTTTCCAGGGTGGCCCCGCAGGCCAGATCTAAGCACCCCATGGGCCACATCTGGTCCGTGGGCCTTGAGTTTGACACCCCTGCCCTAGTATGAGATAGTTTGTATCTGGAGACAAAGATGTTAATTAATTTTTTCATGATGTAAATAAATTTCCAAGCTATTTTTAAGTTTCACAAGAGTCATTTTACTACTCCAGGTGTTCAATGAAAAAAATAAAGTACAATATTTGGCCCAACTTCTGCATAATAAATAAATAAACTGAAACACGTTCAACAACATTTCACCGTATTCTATGCAGAAAGCAACATCTCTTTTCAATGTTTCCTAGTCTTCCATGGAACTGTTTGATGCACAGCATTTATATACTTGACTCAACTTTGGCTTCATAACATACAGATAGTCCTCAACTTACGATCACAATTGAGTCCAAAATTTCTGTCGCTAAGTAGGACATTCGTTAAGTGACTTTTGCTCCATTTTTACGATCTTTCTGGCCACAGTTACTAAGTGAATCACTGCAGTTGTTAAATTAGTGACATGGTTGATAGGTGGATCTGGCTTCCCCATTGACTTTGCTTTTCAGAAGGTCACAAAAGGTGATCACAGGATTTTGGGACACAAATATGAGTCAGTTGCCAAGCAAATGAATTTTGATCACATGACCATGGGGATACTGCAGTGTGAAAAACAGTCACAAATCACTTTTTTCAGTGTCATTGTAACTTTGAACAGCCACTAAACGAACGGTTGTAAGTTGAGGACTACCTGTATTGTGGGTTGCCTATAGAACTTGGTACAAGGGTTCTATAAGATGCTTGCTGTATAAAGAAACAAGAAAAGTGAAAATCTAGGAATCCTCCACATCTTACTTTCCATAGAAGTCCTTGTGTGTAGCAGATACAAAGAGGAACAAATCCGGATGACTGGACAGCCAATTTGTTACCATTTTGGGGTGCCTGGGGTCAACCTCCAAATACACACTCCTGAAAGAGGAAAAAACAACCATCTTGTTTAAAACTTAACATTTTAAAGTACATTTGCAAATGTAAAACATATTGGGGTGGTTTTTGCAACAATTCAAAGACACTAAACTTCCAATTTAACCATATTTATGGTTTGGTTTTGGCAGCTTTTTGGTTTTATTACGAGCACGAGTTAAATGAAAAATTGGATAAATGCTGATGCAATCATATGCCCCTTAGGGTAAGGTCTCACAGATCAGACCCTTGATTATGAGAAAGAAATCTCCCATCATGCCGTAGATCCTACATTCTTGTAGAGAAAGATCCATTTAATGCTGCGTGTGAAATCCATTGTTATTCATCTCTTTCTTTTATCTGGGGAAAATAAACTCCATTTCCTTTATTATATAAATTAATTAATATTTATATGAATAGTACTGGTTTAAAGTTTGGTGAGGTCTGACCCTCCCAGGGGTAGCTTTGCCCAAGTGACTTCCTCATTTTTTGTGCCAGATCCTCCCTTCCATCAAAGCAGTTCAAGCGTTTTTAATGTAATTCATTTCCTCATTTATAGAAATGTCTTTTGTGAACATGATTATGCAGTCACATCACTGTACGTTTTTCAATTTTTGGTTTTACCAGCTTTACTGTTTCTTTTATTTTTCTTGTTGCATATATTGATTTATTTTTGGGTTGTAAGCCACCAGAGATTTCCCTGGAGATTTCATTAGCTCATCCTCTTTTATCTTTATATCATTTAGAATTGTTTGCATCTTTTCTTGTCTTTTTGTTCAGCGTTTTGTTCTGTTGAATAAATTCCCCTTGCACAAATGCTTTACTGACATCCCATATGATTTTATTCTCAGTACACTTATTGAAATTATTCTCAAAAAAATTAAGACTCTTTTTACATTTTTCCACTATCAATTTACATTGTACTAATCTTTCATTTGATCTCCATCTATAAGTCCCATTTCCATCTATAAATCTTCTTGTATATTAAAGCCACTAAATTATAGATAGAGAACACTTTTGGCAATATTTCGATTTTGTTATCACAAGTGGCCAAATTTTGATTCTATTTTGATCTATCAGAAAGATCTATGCCTTTTTGAAAAATACGTATATTCTTTAAAATCACCACATTTATTTATTTATTTATTTATTTATTTATTTATTTATTTATTTATTTATTTATTTATTTATTTATTTTTCATATTTGTATACCACCCTACTCCCGAAGGACTCAGGGCGGTGAACAGCCATAATAAATACAAATACATATAGAAGTTAAAAACTATTAAAAAACAGATTAAGTAATTTAGGCTCAAAGATTAAAAACATCCAAATTTATCTAAAGAGGTTTAAAACCCAATTTAAAAGCCAGTTTAAAAGCCAATTAAAAAGGGAGTTAGGCCAGACCAGCTTGTTGGAATAGAAATGTTTTCAGGGCACGGCGGAATATGCGTAAGTCTTAGATGTTTCGTAACTCCGGGGGAAGCCCGTTCCAGATGGTAGGTGCCCCCACAGAAAAGGCTCTCCCCCTGGGGGCCGTCAGTCGACATTGTTTGGTCGATGGCACCCTGAGGAGTCCCTCTCTATGGGAGCGAACTGGTCGGTGAGAGGCTATTGGTGGCAGGAGGCGGTCTCGTAAATACCCTGGTCCTGAGCCATGGAGCGCTCTAAAGATAGTAACCAAAACCTTGAAGCGCACCCGGAAGACCATGTCTTTTTTTTTATGTCTCCATATGTTAATTAATTCAAGATTATTCATCATTTTGAAATATATTTTTGGTAGTTTATGTTGCATCATTTAAATTCCCTTTACTGATGCTCTATTTCCATGATGGTGAACCTATGGCATGTGTGCCACAGATGGCACATAGAGCCTCTCTGCGGGCACACGAGCTGTCACCCCAACTCAGCTCCACTGAGCATGCGTGTGCGCCTCCTGCCGGCCAGCTGATTTTTGGGTCTCTGCATGCACAGGGGGTGGGGGGCATGTGCGGGGTCCCTGCAAAAGGGGGTCACACACGCATGCATGGGGGAGAGCGGGGGGTCACACGTACATGTGTGTGGGGGGTCACGTGTGAATATGCAGGGAGAACGCAGGGGGTCACGTGCGCATGCGCATGGGTGAGGTACGTGCGGGGATTGCACACGCATTGCATTATGCACTTTTGGCGTGCAACGATAAAAAAGTTAGCCATCACTGATCTATTTTGTTGTGGGCAGACTACTCAATTCCAGTCTCCCACTAGGCACCAGTTTACATATGACAGCTCCATTAATTTTCACTTAACTCCATTTAAAAATGTAGCTTTATTTTAGTTTGGAGCATAAATTCCCACTAAAAGGATCTTATCTTTATTTAAAAGGTACATGTAAGCCTTGACTTACAACAGTTTGTTTCGTGACTGTTCAAAGTTACAATGGCACTGAAAAAAGTGACTTATGACTGTCTTTCACACTTAAGACCATTGCAGCATCCCTATGATCACATGAACAAAATTCGGATGCTTTGCAACTGGTTCATATTTATGACAGTTGCCGTGTCCTGGGGTCATGTGATCATCTTTTGCGATCTTCTGATAAGCAAAATCAATGGGAAATCCAGATTCACTTAACAACCGTGTTCCTAACTTAACTGCCATGAGTCACTTAACAAAGGTTGCAAAAAAGGTCGTAAAACAGGGCTAAATTTACTTAACAAATGTCTCACTTAGCAATATAAATTTTGGGCTCAATTGTGGTCATATGTTGTGGAATACCTGGACATTCTTATTTGTAAGGGCTATCCAAAATTTTGTAGTCTACAAAGTGAAATGCCTTAAAACATAAGCTGGGGAGGGGGGGGGAGAATCCTCTTGATTTTTTTCATTATTAGATGGTACCAATATATTCTCAGGTGCCTCTTTTGAAAATAGTTTGAACATCCGGCAAAGTACTTGTTCCATGAAGTATGGGTTGCAAAATCATGATTATTATTATACTAGCATAGGAGATAAATGAAAGTGCTCTGTACTTAAAGCATCCTTCAGCACTGATTTTTCTAGTATTGGGATATAAATTCATCCTTGTAATGAGTTATCTATAATTGCCTAGAAACGGCTTACAAAAATTAACTGCATCTACTCTAAATTCAGCTGGCATTTCACCAATTCTCACAACGTTGCTGTTAGCAATTATTTTCCTAGGAATAATTTAATTTTACTTTTCAGAATGTCTGCTCTAATTCAGAGATCAAGTCTTAGAACCAATGGTCTCTCTGTGCACCCATGTGGCTGCAGCAACCATTGCACAAGAATCTGTATTATTGAAGTAATAATACTTGATACACTGAGATGATGCACCAGCAAAGGAAGGAGAGATAGATAGAGAGAAACCCAGAGAAAGAGGGAGGAAGTGGACAGGAAAGCTTTTTGTCTGGCTCTTGGGAACTAGGTGGAAGTATGCAGACCTTCTGTTGACCTCCAGGCAAAGAAGGGACTCAGCTGTAGCAGGAAGAGGGTTAAGTTCTTGCTCAGGTCTAAGGCTGAAGCCAATGATGCAATAGGTCAATAATGTAAATTTAATCCCACAAAGATGTCAAAGCAAGTAGTTCAAAGATTGGTGCCAGAGACTATTACAATATATTAAGAAAATTGAAAAGAGACAAGAAGTTTTAAGTTATTAGGGCTTCGTGGCATAAATGAATTAGTTTAAACTAAGGAAAATTCTAAATGCCTGCCTGAGCAGATTCACTAAATATTTTCTTACACTAAAACTGAAGATGTAGTATGCCTTCAAGTGTAGAAATCAAAATTTGTTACGATTTTGCTGATGGAAAGCTGTGAAATTCATGGCAGACTGAGTACCTGAATAGACACTCAATCAAAAAGCCCATCTTTTTGCACCCCAAGCAAATTATGAAGAATTCCAGAAGGCAGTGGGATAAATCACTTAAGAACAGAATCAAAACTAATAGGAAAGTCTGAATTGCAGCCGATGACGTCGTTCCATATAGACTATTCAACAAAGTTAGATGGACGTTGAGTCACATTGCAATAAAAGTATGAATTAGAAATTACAAAACACTAGTTCAATTTTTCTCAAAGGAAGTTGAGGATGGGAATGATCTGCAGCCAAGTACTGTTTGACAATTTATTTATTTATTTATTATTTATTTTATTATATTTCTATACCGCCCTTCTGAAATATTCTCCTCAATATTTCAGAATCCATAATGGTCTGTTTTTTAATGGCGCTACATGTGCCACTTGAGATTTTTGAGCTTGCTAAGGCCAAGATAAGGAAGCTGAAAGCACAATATTTGAGATACTTTGCTTAATTTTTTTTTTGCTAGTATGATAACCAAAATAAATAATGATAACATGCCACGGTATTGAGCCATCTGGCGGGCAGATTCCCAGATGGTAAAGTGGATTGCATTTGAAATATTAATCTTGCAACAAGATAGTATTTTTGGCAATGAAGAAATCCAGTATCTGGTTTGTAGGTACTCAAACATTCTCATAAAACAAATTTCATAAAAAATTTCTGCTATAAGAAAGACTTACAGTAAGTAGCAAAAATAAATATAATGAAAAAGATTTAGGTATTAAATTGCAACCTGGCTTAGCTTTCGCATCGAAGCCTGTAATATGGCGCACAGATTTAGTAATAAAAAAAGAAATATGAACTTTGTATAATTGATGACATAGGTCACAATGTAAGTGATTGATTTTAGGGTGCAATTTTTTTAAAATTTCCCGTACAATGGAACTTTAACTTGCTTGTACCCAGAAATTATTATCTATTTCAGTCACTTTTTAACATTGTTTTGATGTGTGTGCATTGTACAAATAATATAGTATAATTATTGTTTTCATTTGGATAAAAATATGTAAGTTCTCATTTGTTAAATAATTTTGAAGTTTACATTTTATACACGTAAAGTATTTTATGTGCTTTTTTTTGAAAATACGTTAGCAAGGACAAAGGAACCACAAAATGGACAGTGATGATGACTTAATCATTTTGTAACCAAACTCATGCCTAATCTTACTCATAGCATTTTGCAGTCCACAAAATAAATTGACAACAAAACAACGAAAACGAAATAAAATTTTTCCTGTTTCTCACTTCAAACATTGAATCAATCAGGCTCAGTTAAAGTTACATATGGAAGAAGTTCACATTAGTGAGAGAAGGAAATTTTTCTTCTGTGCTCTTGACTTCTCTATCTTGGGACGAGAACTATGAGAAAAAAATTGTTTTTTGAAAAAATTGAGACCTTGGAAAATGATAGTTAATGATTCAGATGACAAATGAAAGTTCTCTCAAAGTTTTTTCCTTTAAGTTGGTCTTCTAAGAGAGCAGGAAAGATCTTCTAACCAGTTTTTACTCTATGCTTTAGAACAGGGCTCCCCAACCCCCAGTCCACGGTATGCCAGCAACTGGGCCGCACAAACAAGCAAAGCCTCATCCGCAGGATGCAGGAAGCACACAAAACCATGCCTCCTCCGGTCCATGGAAAAACCTTTCTCCACGGAACCGGTCCCTGGTGCCCAAAAGATTGGGGGGCCACTGCTTTAGAAGAAGAACTATATTTTCTCTTTGGTGAAAATTATTTGAAATTTTCGTCTTATTCAAAGCTTGACAAGAATTTTCTGTGTTGTGTTCTATGTTGTTTGCTTTTTTTGCAAATTACCTTCTGTTCTTCTTTATATAGCATATATTAGAATAACTATAATAAAGATATTGGACTGAAATATAGCAAGCATTTTGCCTGCTGGTTTGAACAGAGTTTTACTTGTAAACAATGAAACCACTTAGAATTTCTTATCTCCCAACCTGTTTTCATGCAGATCACTAGCAGCAGAGCAAGGTTTTCTGGTAAACAGGTGTGTCCATAATGACAGAAAGATACACCAAAGCCAAAGCACAGGATGATATTGGGAGAAGCAGCTTTTATCTTCCCCAAAGGAGCTCTCGCAAATTGCTATAATTATTTATGAACGTAGTCCAAGAACATAGAACACTTCCATCCAATGGTTTATCCTCTTTCAATGTTTCATTTATAATTCTAGCTTTTCCACTATAATTTTCTTCAATTATATAATTCTTAAGTCTCAAAGATCCACAAGCATTCTTGGAAACAGCAGTTTCAGTCAATATTACCGGTAGTTAAGGGCTATGTGAGAAAAAAGTTCTTTATTCTTATAACTTCACATTTTTAAAATTGCCCAAATTCTCAATGACTCTGGGCAAGGTACAAATTGAAAACCATAGAAACAGAGTAACAGTAGTCAACAGAAAAGCAAGATGGTCACCCTGCTGAAACAGACATAAGAACCCCTCACAAAAAGAACCTAAAACTTGCCCTAGAGTAAAGTCTGGGAGAAAAGCCTGTTTCCTGGGTCTCATCAGATGACATTGTTTAATGAACAGGACCCAGAGCATGCTGACTCCATTTAAACTTGTAGGATGGGCAGAAACCAGTGGTGGGTTGCTATCAGTTCGCCCCAGTTTGGGCGAACTGGTAGAGGCGGTGGTGGGAGGCTCCGCCCACCCACCCGGACATAATCAAATATGGTCTGCGCATGTGCAGAAGTTTCTGCGCATGTGTGGACGTGGTAGTAAAGCGAACTGGTAGCAAAGATAAGTGAAACTCACCCCTGGCAGAAACAAAAACAGTGAGAGAGGGATGGTCCCTCAAATAACTAACCTGATGCCATACAGAGGTTTGTAGGTGATAACTAGACTTTAAATTACACTCACATGTCTATCAGTAACCAGTGTAGGTTGCACATTGTGTTGGCGATAATTTTCACACTATATAACTTATACTTCTGAGAACAAAGGCAATTAATATAATTTAATAGTTCGTTCGTCCAAGATATATGGTAATATAAGGCAAAGGAATGACCACCTGTATGTTTGTATTTATAATACACCTTTCTTCTCCCATGACTTGAACAGTTTCTTGCTTTCTAGTCTGTTGCCTTAACCACTAGATGAAAGTGACTCTCATATATGACTCTATATGACCTGTCAGTAAATATGTTTTTTCCTCTCCTTTCCTACTCAAAAGGTGACGGAGAGGAGACAGAATTCTACTCAGAATTTTAAAAAAATAGTTTCATTCTCCATCTCTCTTCTTTCTGATTTGCAGATTACTAAATAGGAAAACAAAACCAAGACAAGTCAGACTTCTTGGACATGTAGGAATCTTTTCAATTCTGGAAGTGGGATAGAAAACCTTCCCATTCACTCCACAGAAGCATGTTGGAGGCATCCTTATAAGTGGATGTCATATCTCACCCATTCAAAAAATGATTATCATGGAGGACCGGAAGTGTCGCGGCGAGACATTGGGGAATTAGTGGGCTCTGATGAGCTCCGCGAAAACCTGGACTGACGAACTGCTGCCGAAGGATCTTCGGACCAGAACCGTCCTGTAGGGACAGGGAAGGAGAGGCACCTCGGAACAGGCAAGTTCCTCGAAGGTCAGAGGAATCTCTCTTCGATTTGGCGGTGGAGGCAGCAGCCATTGCGGCTGTCAAGAAGCTGGGGCAACTGGACTAAGAATTGAGCAGGAGCGGTGAATGCAACGGAGTTTTTGAAGCCGGGTGAATGACAGCCAACCCACAGGCGAAGTAACAACAAAAAAATTGTTTTTTTAAACCTGAAACCCCTGTAAGAACAGTGGCTAATGGGCATGGGGGAAGAAAAGAGGATGTAAGTGGAATTTAAAGGGACAAAAACCTGAAAAGAAAATTGATTTTTGAATAAAATTAACTGGAAAATTTTAAGAATTAGAAGAAACAACCCCAAAATTGGCTAAAGGATTGGAAAGAAAATAAATAGATCCTTTCTTGTTGAAGACTAAGAAAAATAAAAGACAATTGGATATTAAGCCCAGCAACAGAAGTGCTTTATACCTAAAAAAAAGAAAAGAGGGGAAAAGTATTGTTTAATTTGGACTGGACTATAAAACTGATTTGGTATTTTTAAAGTTAAAAAGAAGAAAAAAGAAGCTAGATTGTTAACAAAGATTGATACAAAATGGACACTCTGTTAAACAATTAAGAGAATTGTGGATTCTAGAGAGACATCTTCAGGAGAAAAAAGAGCATTGCAATTTGGAATCTTTGTTTTGGAAAACTTTGAACTATATCAGTGATAATAGCCGTGAGAACTTTCGGGGAGGATTGCTTTGTCTGCAAGCGGCTTGACTTTGGAAAAAAAAAAAAAGGAAAACAACGGAACTTTTAAACCTGGAACAATACTAATATAGAAAGAATAAAATGGCGCAGGAAATTAGAGAAATGATGGAAATGATGTATTCGTCCTGGAAAGCGGAAATAAGAGGAATAATTACGATGCTACATGGAGAATTGAAACTTGAGGATCCAAAAACTGAGAGAGAGCATGTTCAAGCTGACAAGGAAACAAAGATGGAGAAGCAAGACACAGACACTGAAAACAAAGAAGAAGATAAAGACAATGAGATTAATTTTGGAAAACTAATTGAATACAGTATATGGATAGTAATAATAAAAAGGAGGTTTTTACAGATTACATTGGGATTAACAATGGAAAAAACAGAAAAGGCAGAAAGAGACAAAGAAGGAGAGAAGGGAGAAATAGAAAGAACACAAAAAACCTTAAATGATTACACTGGAATTAACAGTGAAGAGAAAAAAAAGAGAGGAAAGGGATGGGAAACAACAGGAAATGCAGGGCAAAATAGAAGAGTTCAGATTTGTGAAACAGAATGATTACACTGGGATAAACAGTGGGATAAATAATGGGGAAGTAAGAAAAGAAGAAAAGAGATGGGAAACAATGGGAAATTTAGGGCAAAAGAGAGCTCAAGATTTCAAAGTATAAAAGAAAAAAAGGGGAAAGAAAAAGGTAAAAATAAAAATGGGAAGGGTGAAAAAGAAATGAAAGAGAAAGATGCTATATGTATTTAGAATTGAAATCTGAATTGTAGTAAAAATGGGAAACCATATGATTGCAAAAATGAAATGAATAATAATTGGAATATTTGTATTGTATCTTTGAAACTTAGATAATGATAAGCTTTGTTTTTTTTTATTTTTCTTTAAGAAATATGAATAAGTTTAAATTGTAACAATTGAAATACCTTTAATGGTATATGGTGGTGAAAGTAGAAAGGATTAAGTTGTGGCTTGGATAACAGCTAGAATATTTTAAAGTTAAATAGGGAAACTGTAATCGTTTGAATATTTTTAATTCTTTAATTTTATAATGTGAAGAAAGTAGAAATGATTAATTGTAATAATTGAAATACTTCCAATTGTATATTATGTTGAAAGCAGAATTGGCTATAATTAATTAATTTGTAAGGAATTGGATTGCATGGAAATAACTGGAATATTCATGTTTATATTGATTAATATAAAAAAAGATAGTTATATAACTAACTGATCTATACTAAAATGTTGGATTTGTATTATCAAAGGAAATGTATGTTATAAAATAAGCAGATTTATTATCATAAGAATTAAACTACTGTAACATTACATAACTAACCAAGGTGAGGAAAGCTATACAATGGGAAGGGGTATAATATAGAATAGAAGGGAAAAACTGAATTTAATTAAGTTTAGAGATGAGAATGAAGGGTAATATTGGTTCTTAAAAAATAGAGGAGAAATGAATATGGCAAAAAGGAAATATAGAAATTTTAAATTGAAATTGAAACGACTAAATACTGTCTAAATTTGTGAATTGGCAAAATACTCTGTTCAAAGAAAATACATTGTATGTTTGTATGTGTGTTTGTCTAAAAATAAAAAAAAACATGATAAAAAAAATGATTATCATGGTAATTGAGATCAATCACAGAATAATCATTTATGAAAAACCATTTATGTATACCGTATTTTTCGGACTATAAGATGCATCGGTGTATAAGACGTACCAAGATTTCGAAGAGGTAAGTAAAAAAAAAAATTTTTTTTGCCCTCCCCGGCCCCCAGGAGCACTCTGCAGGCCTCCCAAACCCTCTGCGCACCGTTTTTTGCAAAAACGGGCCTGTTTTTCAGAAAAATGGGATGAGCAGGGCTTCGGGAGGCCAAAAATGGTTGTATTTGGTGTATAAGACGCACCAACATTTCTTTTGGGGGGGGGAAAGTGCGTCTTATACCGGCAGTAAAATTTTTTTGAATCCCATCACTGTTACAGCCCCAACTGCTCCTACCACCACTGGAGCCACTTTGGCCTTTACTTTTTACATCCTCTCTAGCTTCCAGCTTCTCATACTCTTTCCAGATGTTGCTGTTTCTTGGCCCTGCTATATCTACCACCACCCTTGTCTTCTGGCCTTTGTCTATTATCATGATATTTGGTTGATTGGCTAGTCCCTTCTCATTTTACACCCTGCAACTAATGTGTTGGGAGTGTTTCTGAGGCCTTTCTGCATAGTTTGGCCCTTGGTTCTGTCTGGTATAGTAGACTCCCCATGTCTATGGCTCTGGTGTTTACCAAAAGGTCCAGATTAGAGTTCAAAAGCACTACAAGTTTATTTCCTGCTACATTCACAAGAATCTGATCAAATGAAATTGGTGCCAGATAGGAATCAACAGGCTTCAAGAGGGGGCTGGATCTAGGTCTTTTCTGGGGATGTTGTGACTCCAAAATGATGATGTGTTTGACCCCACCCTCAAGCTCAGCCTGGTCATTTTTACACTTAGTGCCTGTTCTTCTACTGCTATGATCAGTACCTAAGTGCTGTCCTTTAGTCCAGCCCTTTCCAGCCACTGGTAGGATTTCCCAATGCCTGCCACTCAGCCATCTGTCAATGGTATATCTCATTCAGGATCTTATCTTGCAACGACACTTCCTTTGTTTGATCTTCCTTCCCTGTCTGCTGCTAGCCCAGTCATTCATTTAGCAGCTCATCTCTGGGTGTCATTTTATTGATTCATACCTGATTCTCAGTGTTTCGTCCAGAACAATGGATTTAACACTAACAGACCCCGTCTGCTCCTTTCCGATTGGTGTACAGTCTCTAAGTTTGGACATGAGGTGAAATCTCTGTACATTGTGATGAGCTTCCAGGTCTTCATATCACAACTTCCATGTTGTTCTTTGGCCAGCTCACTATACGGGCAGAGAATCTGATGACTGGCAGGGCATATATGCTGACGGTGTGGACTTTGTTCTTATCACTGAGCTGGCTCTTCAGGACCTGTCTTATCCTTTGGTGGTTCTTGGATGTTTTTGTTTTATTTGCCTCCTCATCATGTTTCCCATATGACTCTGGGATACCAAGGCACCTGTAGTTGATCTCTATGTCTGCCATGTGGCCTGCTGGTAGATTCACCCCATCAGTCTTAACTACTTTTTGTTTCTTGACTAGCATCCGGTCACACTTCTCCAGTCCAAATGACATCATGATGTTCCCACTGTATATCCATATTGGGTAAATCAGTGAACCGATGTCTTGTTCACTCTTAGCACACAATTTGATGTCAGTCATATAGAGGATGTGGCTGATGGTAGTTCCAGTCTTTAACTTGTATCCATAGCCAGTCCTTAAATATTTAAAACTACAAATCATCTTTAAAAAAAAAAATGGTGAGGCAGGAAACTCAGGTTGCTAAATGCCACTAAACATGCTGGTATCCATAAGCACTTTGCTTTTTGGGATTTGAAAAGGATAGAATAGGACCTATTCCATCAGTTATGTACATTTTCTCTATTTCTTCTCTCTCTAAAATTGGGAAATGACTGGCAGAAAAAAGCAGAAGTTGCTCTCTGATGCGCATGCTTCTATGCAACTCTGCATAGATGATTTTGGCTGCAAAGTACAAGGCAGAAAATCTCCATTTCCTTGATGATGCTATCTGTTCAACTGTGTCTGATTCTTGGCAATTCTATGGATGAGCTCTATTTTTTCTGACCTTGAAGGGCTTCTTTCAGTTTGTTTAATGTTCTGGCTGATGTCGGCTTTTATAATGTCTAGCCACTGTGTTTGTTTGGCAGCCTCACTTTCTTTTTTCACAGAATATTCTGAGCATAATGCTTTTTCCAGTGAGTTTGAGCACATATGGCCAAAATAAGTAAGGTGGGATTTTGTGTTTTTTGCCTTCCAGTGATATGTCTGATTTTATATGCTTCAGTACTTGCTTATTTGTCACCTATGTTGTCCAATGAATTTCTAGAAACCCTCTCTAACATAACTGCTTGAACGTTGATTTTCTTCTGTCCTGTGGACCACTTCATGGTCCAAAATTCGTAACTCTAAGTAGACATAAACATCTGTAGATATTCTCAGTCATCCAGGTCATAGTTGTCCGAAAGGTGCTTTTTTAACTGGACTTTCTTGTTTTTCTTGTTTTTCTTTCAAGACGTTTTGCTTCTCATCCAAGAAGCTTCTTCAGCTCTGACAGGATAGTGGGAAATGGAAGGATTTATATTTATATTCCTTGCAGACAGCTGGTCATTTGCATCCCTTTAGAGGGTCATTGAAGCACTTGGAGGTTTATCTGTGTCCTCAGGGTCACAGGAACAGGAACCAGAAGCACTACTCAGGTGACCCTGAGGACAAAGATAAATCTCCAAGTGCTTCAATGACGCTCTAAAGAGATGTAAATGACCAGCTGTCTGCAAGGAATATAAATCCTTCCATTCCCCACTATCCAGTCAGTCTTCAAAGAAAAAAAACCCAAGAAAGTCTAGGTCAGTGATGGCGAACCACAAAAAGAAACCTGAAGACCAGCTGGCCGGTGGGAGGCGGGGCATCCCAACACCGACAGCGCGGCAAGAGGTAAGATCTTTTTCTTTCATGAGCTTCTGTTTCATCATTTGCAGGGAAACAGAAGCTCACGAAAGAAATGCCACAGAGATCTGACCTGGGGCGATGGCATGCGTGCCAGCAGAGAGGGCTCTGTGTGCCACCTCTGGAACACGTGCCATAGTTCGCCATCACGGGTCTAGGAAGATAGGGGAAACACAATAATGCAGACTAATCAGCATTTAGTTGACAGGCTAATGTCCTTGTTTTTCTGTACTCTATTTATGCTCACCATTGCTGTGTGATTCATTGCAATTGGATGGTTTATTTTTGGATTCACTGTTTTTAATCAATCTGCATTCCTAGAAAAATAGATTTCCTACAGGCATTCAATCTCTTCATCAGTTTCATTTGACAGTTTCATTCCTCACAGTGATTATAAGCTTGGGGGATTTTTATGTTCAGGAAGAGGCAAAATTTCTCACTTTTTTCTTTAATCCTTTTGATCTAATATTTTAGAACTTTTTTGGTTTCCAAGAGGAGAGTTGTGTCATCATCCTACTGAAGATTGTTGATGGTCCTTTCCCCAATCTTTATGCTGATTTTTGATTCTTCAAGTTCCAGCTTCCTCATGATCAGTTCGGCATATAAACTGAATAAAAAGGGTGGAAGAATCAACATTACTGCACTCCTTTCTTTACCTTGAACCAATCAGTAGCTTCATATGCACAGTGGCTTCCTGATTTGTATGCAGCAACTGCACCAACTTAACCAGATGTGTTGATATTCCCAGGTCTTCTAGAGCTCTCCATGGCTCTTTATGATACACATTTAAAAGTTTTCTTGTAAAAGCAGATGTAGATGTTCTTTTGATATTTGATATTTTTCTATGATCCAGCACAGATGGATCACCAGTACCATGATCCCTTCTGAAGACAGCTTGAACATTTGGTAATTTCCTTTCAATGATGTGCACCAAATGTTATTGTATGATCTTAAGAAGAATCTTGATAGTGTGAAGGATGAGGGCAATTGTGCAGTAATTGAAGCAATTCTTAGAGTCACCCTTTTTCACCAAGGAATGAACTATGATATTTTGAAATATCATCATCTGTGATGATTGTAGGTGGTAGAGGCCTTGGCAATTCTGCGGGGGTATCAATAGCTGAGACTCTTTTGTTTGGCAGTTGACTCATTGCCCATGTCTTCCGGAAGGAAGGCTGGTTCTATTTCTGTTTCCCTTTCCTCATAATCTTGAGGAGCTGGGCCTCTTTGTTCTTCTTCTGTATATTCTTGCCATATGTTCTTGACACCTTTGTTGATCAGATAGTTCTGTCCCTCACTTGTTTTTGATGATGCTTTTATGAGCAGTAAATGGTATTTGTATCTTTTTTGAGTTACACAAATGCGTTCCTGGGATGGCCCTTCATGCAGTCCTCTTTTATCTGCTTGCAATGCTGGTCCCAGTAAACTTTGTTGTCTTTCTTTGTTGCTCTTTGAAAATGTGCTTTCAATCTCCTTGCTTCCTCCTGTTTGCCTGCTGTTTTGACTGCTTTTCTTTGCCAGTTCCTTAGACCCTTAAAACAGAACTTATTTCAAAAGAAGCAGTCAATATCAGAACTTACCCACAATCCTTGAGAATGGAAGAGGCCATTTTCAGAATTTCTTTGATGATGCTCATCCCATCAATTCCTCCATCCAGGGCATCAAGGTCCTCAAAGCTATAAACAAAGACATGTCTAAAAACCAAGTCATATCCCGGCTTTACAGACAACAGAAAATTCAAAAGACATTGCAATGGCAAACATGTCATTAGATTTGGTCACTAGGAATGAGAATGGAAATTCCTGGTACTGAATTCTTACTGGAAAACCTAGGGGCTTTCCAGCAGATCATTCTGGAGATGATAATCATTTACTGTGTTACTGAGACCACTGTCAACAAAAGCATTCATAGGAAAAAAATTACAGCAATACCGTATTTCAATTTTAACAATACTAATGTGTCTAGTTTATCCCTACTCTTTTATACGGAAGTGCTATAGGGCAGGGGTCCCCAACCCCTGGGTGGTGGCTTGCACAAGCAGAGCTTCAGGTGCGCGCTCACCCGCAACTTCCATGGCCCGGTTCCGAATGGGCCACAGCCCAGTAGTGGTCCACAGCCCGGGGGTTGTGTCTAATTTATCTGTACTCTTTTATATAGAAGTGCTATAGGGCAGGGGAACCCAACCCCTGGGCTGTGGCCCACTACTGGGCTGCGGCACGTTCAGAACTGGGCTGTGGACGTGGCGGGTAAGCGCATGCGCGAAGCTCCATTTTGTGCGGATGGCGGGCACGCATGCCCGTCACTCATGCAAATGGAGCTGCGCATGCTCACCTGCCACCCATGCAGAACCATCAGAAAGTGTTATAAAGTCCTTTGATTATTTACAATGGCAATAACAGCAGATCCATTAGCCACCCAAAATCCTGGAATGCTTTGTTTAACCTAATAGTTAACTGAATGGTTAACTGAAATATTCCTAGTCTCCTAGAGTCTGAAATACTTTTTTTCAGTCCTAAGTCTCCATGTTAATAGATTTTAGAAAGAGCCCAAAGGACAACAAAGGACACTCATAAAGGAAATCTTGCTTCGTTTTTCAACAGCTAACAGCAGACATAAACTGCCTGGGTTATGATTGTGATATCAAAGGAAGGGTTTTTTTTTTTTTTTTGAAAAAGAAAATCGTTCTAGGCAATTTTCTCCTTACAGATTCTCTTTGCCATGGTATAAAAAATCCAATTATCTATATGGAACCTAAAATCAGGAGGAGTTTGGCACTTTTTCAGATTAACCAATTTTATTAAAAAGCATAAGCTTTTATTAAGACTTTCCGATAGCTAGCCTGAAAAAATGCTTCAGATTCTTTCTGATTTTTGGCTAAAATTGACTAATACAACTTTCCTTCTACAATGTCTATATGTAACCTATTCTTCCTCCCATGCAGAAAATAATGTTGTCAGAGGAAAGGAAAACATATCTGAATTCAGATTTGGGAGAAATTGCTGTTGCTATTATTTCCTTAATAATTGTAAGAGATTGTAATAATGCCAGGGCTTTCAACATCACAGTCTTTGGCTTTAAAACTGCACTGCAGCAAAGAAAAAATAATACACAATGTGGAAAATGAAGAAAAGATTGGTATACCAGAGAATTTCTGCTGCCAACTCACTCATATCTTCATGAAAAATGTAAGGTGGATTACTGATGATAGTATCTACCAAACCCCAAGGCTGAAGACATTCCCAAGGACCTACAATGACGAAAGCATTAAAATGCTTTTTAGACATTCAAAGTAACAGGCAAGCATTTATTCCTTTATTTTAAAAACTTCACAGATGGCCATGAAAAAGAACTCTGAATATTCTTTTGAATTTCAAGCATTCCGATTCTAAGCATAATCTCAGTGAGAGTCTATTTGAAGAACTGGAATCCAATAAGAAAAAAAAACTGTGACAGGATTATTTTCACGTATCATATAATAGATCATATGGAAAAGAAATACCTATTCATATTGAAAAGAAATACCTACTCAAAAAATACCTATTCAAATACCTATTTCAAAATTGCAAAATATATTGGAACAGCTCTAGTTGGTTGAAATGAAAAGAGGTTATATGGAAAGTATATTAATTTTACAAATACAAGTAATCCCCAGGTTACAAGCGTTCCCTTAATGAACGTTTGAAATTATACGATAAACACCCCCTAACGTTTACGAACAAGTCCCCGTATTACAAATCTTGGAGCACCATGGCAGTTGTTTGCCCTTACGAACAACCGCAGAGGCTCTGCAACATTCGTCCTGCATGTTGCTGGCTGAAATGGAGCTTCTGAGGGGTGGATCCGCCCTTCTGATGCTCTGTTCGGGCATCCAGAGGCTTCACCTGGCATGTTGCCAGCCGAAATGGAACTTCAGGCCTCTGGATGCCCGGAGCTTCTGAGGGGCGGATCTGCTTTAGGCTTTATGTTATCCAAAGGATAACACCAGGTAAAATGGGAGTGGGAATTTCCAGAAATTAGGGGTGGGTTGAAAAGGTCCTCTGTTATCCACTAAGAACAGGGGTCCCCAATCCCCATGGTCTATTGGCAACTGGGCTGCACATACACACACCCATGCACACCAGCGTGCTGCTCACACAGCCCAGTTCCCCTTCTCCACCCCCCAAGCCGCAAAGGTTGGGACTGGTGACTTAGAAGGAGTTGGGTGGCTAAAAAGTATGAAATATAAATAGATACATAGATGATAGATAGATAGGAAAGAAAGAAAAAGAAAGAAAGAAAAAGAAAGAGAAAGAAAGAAAGAAAGAAAGAAAGAAAGAAAGAAAGAAAGAAAGAAAGAAAGAAAGAAAGAGAATTTCAGGAATTTCTTAATGCACATGTAAATTGATGCGGCAGATGATGTTCCTCAAGTATATCATTCCAAAATTATGGAGGGCTTTAAATTTAAGTGGTAGTTTTGTGCAAATCACTCAACAACCAATTCAAATAGTTGAGTCACTGATTTATTGAGTGGTTGAGTATGTGCATTATCCAAAAGTCGATTATATCGATGCATTGATTTGAAGACACTCCATTGAATATATTTATTTGACTACAGTTCAGTTTGAAGGTTTGATTCAATCTAATTGTTATTCAACTGGATCTCTGATTTGAAGTTGCATTAAAGACTCCACCTCTTCCTGGTGTGCATCTTGTTCTGTCTCCTCCCATCTTTGTCAATTTTAACATCAATTTTAATGTTAATATTGTTTTAATGTTATCTTTTTTTTTATTGCTTGTTAGCCACCTAGATTTGTCTCTAGGTGATATGGGTGGCATATAAGTTAAATAAATAAACAAATAAACAAACAGTTGTTGACAAATGGTATTTGTTCATATGCCAATGCTGTCCCTTTTGAATTGAAATTGAAGGACTGTGCATCTCTAGTAGCAAGCATTTACACTTGGGTATGCATTTAGAAATGAACCAGCAGCCAGAGAAGCTATTTATATATCACTGACAAGATATATTCCCAGTGCTTAATCTCATTTACCAGCTTAATATTTCTGTTCTGAGCCCAGCACAATTCCATTTTACATTTACTAAATCGGGTGTCAGCAACCTGGAGCTGCATGTGGCTCTTTCAGCCCTCTGCTGCAGCTCCTAATGCCACTGCTGTTGCTGCCTCCATGGCCTGCCCACTGCTCTCACAGTGCCTTGCTCAGCACAGTGAAATTTAATGTGCTTCAAAATGGGGGAAATGGGGTCCCCTCCTCCTCCTGGAGCCCATTACCACGTGGAGCCACAATGAGATCCTGCCCCACTGGCAACAGCAGTGGGGTCGTCGGCTCGCTCTTGCCTCCCGGATGTCAGTCGCTTTTCCTGCAGAGCCTGCAGGCTACCTGTGTTGTGATGCCCCGCCTCCCCGCTAGCCAGCTGGTCTTTGGCTCCCCGCCAACCAGGTGATTTTTGGCGTTTTGCTTGTAGGCTGGTTGGCCTGCGGATGTCAGATTCCCACCACCCAGCACCAGTTCAGGGGATGCTTCCCCTGCCCCCAGGTATGGCAAAGCCATGTGGGGTTTGACAGTGGCTTGGGTGAGGCCAGTGTCTCAGGGAGGAGAGACAGTTGCACCAATAAAGGCCAGAAGTAGCCACCTGCTGTTTCCTGCTGTAGTCTATCCGGCAGCGAGACCCAGAGAGAGAGGAGAGAGAGAGGAGAGAGAAGGAAAAAGGAGAGAGGAGAGAGACAGAGAGAAAGAGAGATGAGAGAGGAGAGAGAAGGGAAAAAGGAGAGAGGAGAGAGAGAGGGGGGAGAGAGAGGAGAGAATGGAAAAAGAGAGAGGAGAGAGAGAGAGAAAGGAGAGAGAGGAGAGAGAGAAGGCAAAAAGGAGAGAGAGAGAGAGAGAAGGAGAGAGAGAAAGAAGGAGAGAGGAGAGAGAGAAGGGAAAAAGAGTGGAGAGAGAGAGAGGAGAGAAAGAGGCGAGAGAGAGACAGAGAAGGAGAGGAGACAGAGAAGGAGAAAGGAGAGAAAGAGGGGAGAGAGGCAGAGAAGGATGAAAGAGAGAGAAGGGAAAAAAAGGAGAGAGGAGAGAGAGGAGAAGGGAAAAAGGAGGGAGAGGAGAGAGAAAAGGAGAGAGAGACACAGAGAAGGAGAAAGAGAGAAGAGAGAGAAGGGGAAAAGGAGAGAGAGAGAAGGGGAAAAGGAGAGAGAGAGACAGAGAAGAAGAGAGAGAGGGGGAGTGAACAACACACCTGAGGCTGGGTGTGGCAAGAGGTGGCTGGGAGGGAGGGGTGAGGAGGGGCCGGGCAGGGCAAATAATTTAACAACCGGTTCTCTGCCCTAATGACTGGCTGGGTAGGTGTGGCTGGGTAGTGTCACGTGACTGGGTGGGAGTGAGTGACATTGAGTTGGCCACGCCCACCCAGTCACACCGGTTGTTAAATTATTGGCTCCCGGTGTTTTCTGTGGGAAACAAGTCCAGATGGCTCTTTGAGTGTTTAAGGTTGCAGACCACTGTACTAAATTATACGTAAGTACTTCCCACACTCTATTTCCTTTCTTTAACAATGTACAATGCACACAAAAAAATGTGCAGCCTGATCTTATAGTAGAAGTTATCATTTAAACCCAAGTTATGAGCATATACTGGGGAATAACACATGTTGGGAGATTCAGAAGCCATCATTTCATTTTGCAGTCATTGTGTGATTAAATAGATTAAAGGCCTTTTCATCTTTCTTGTACATTCTTGCAAGAGAATGTTCTTCCCTCAAACCATTTACAATGGACAATTAAAAATATGAAGAGAACTTACATGAAGATATATCACGGTGAAAGATATGGATTCTTTCCTGAAGTTGTAACCTATAGAGAGAAGATTTAACATAATACCTTTGATTTACACGCATCTCACTTATCACCTTATGATTAGTTTTAACAGTGATCTCAATCATAGTAAATTAACATTTTTGATTGCATAATAACTCATACTGATCTCCACAGTACCGAATCAAAACACAACAACCTGAGGTTGCTGCAACCCATCAATTATGTACATTTATTATGCAACAAATGTTGCACACATTATTGCAATACCTGTTTTGAAATATGAGTCACTTTTGCTCAATTCCTTTCTTATATGCAATACCTCTGATGTTAGTTTTAATATCAGTTACTCATTTCTTTCCTTACTATATTATGGTGTCAGACAACAATTAAGAAAGACTAGAAATCAAAAATCTAGACAGGCGTCTTTATGTTGTGGATCGTTTGTGTGTGTGTGTGTGTGTGTATCTACATATATCAAGGGAATTAGATTGATTCTTAATCACCTCGAAACAATCCAAACATTCTATTGTAGTGTTAGAATCATGCAGGCCTCAGTTCACCTGCCCTGAAAGTTTGCATAGCTGCACTGTGCAGGAACACAAAGTATTTTCTATAATTCCACAGCATCAAACGCAACTTTTCCTGAGATTTTTTTTCTATTTGTAATCTGCCTATTATTTTTTTCCTCCCACGAATAACTCAACCATCTAATCTTGATAAAAGAAACATCCGCTTTAAGAAATTGCACACAGGAGCTATGTGCACATCTCAGTGTGTCTCAAGCCATCTTTCTGCCTTCTAAGCTGATGTACGACATTACTCCACTTTAAGATTGCTATTACCGATGCTGGTGCAGGGCTATGCCAGACTTGCAGAATATGTTTGATTTGGATTGTTGGGGAAAAAAAAATCATGTGAGGCCTTTGCTCAGATCATTTCATCACCCTCCCAGGGTTATTATGACCCTATTCAGCTCACTGAGGGAGCAAACAGGGGAGTAACCAGTTTGGCAGATGATTTTTATTGATTTTGCTCTTCTTCAGAAAAACAGGGAGAAAACTGCTCTTGGGACCTGCAAAGCACATGCTATGTTTATTTTCTTCTATGAAGTCAACAAGGTCTTTATATGGCTAAATGTACAGCAAATTGCACTATGAAAAAAAAAGGGAAAAGGTCTAGTGGCAAAACTATCCATTTTCCATCTTATCAGTGGATTCTTGAATAGGACATAGGGAACATTGACAGAGAAGCATCAAGAAACCTTCCAAAAGACTGAAGGTCTTGGAGCTGAGGTCATGGACAGAGAGATAGAGGAACATGACACAATGACTCAAGCCTGACAAGAAGAGTTCTTATACTCAGGAGCTCAAAAATATATTGCAGGGACTTACTCAGAGGTGGGCTGCTGCCGGTTCGGGCAAACCGGTAGTTCTACCACCAGCTGGGCCTGCCCCCCCGCCCCTATCCTGTCCTATATCTCTCACTCTCTGGCTCGCTTGCCCTGCCCATTCAGCCTAGCTGATTTCTGCGCCTCACCCGCTCTACTCACCGCGGCCACCTGCATGAAATCAGTGTGTTTGAGGCCCCGTGCAAGCGCGGAAGGCACGCATACTCACATTTTTGTTTCTGCACTAGGCGAACTGGTTGTTAAATTATGTGAAGCCCACCTCTGGCCTTACTGTTGTTAATGAAGAGCAACTGCAAACTAAGGACGATGATTCTGCAAAGGGAAGATTCCTACCTGTTTTCTCAACTTCCCTTCTGAGAAAGACTGAAGCAACAATCTGTTTCTGTGGCATACTTTCAGAAGGTTACAGAAAGGCTCCCAAGATGTTTTAAGGCCCCAGACAAATATTCCTTTCTATAAATCCATATGAGAATGCATGACATAACCAGACACACTCTTGAAGATACTTTAAGAGAGTTAATGCACTGAAGGAAATGAAACACAAATGATGTTTTCTTCACTTTTTTTGATTGAGGAACATGGCCCAGAAAAAGAGAGAATACTGGAAATGAACACATGGATATACAGATGGTGCCAATGTTTCAATTCTCTTGTAAAGACACTTTTCTAAAATGAGGATCTTCTAACAAATGTGGGTTACACTCGAAAAGAACTGGGAAGAATGTGTTTGAAAGGCACCTGGCAAATCTGATTTAAATTGGATCCAATGGGAGCCAGAAAATAGAGTCCAGACACTAAGTGGGGTACATAGGATGGTTGATTAAGTGCTATCAAGTTGGTGATGGCTATTATAAAATCTTACATACATTTTCTTCATGAAGATCTGTCTCTAACCTGGTCTTTCAACAGTGCACTCATTGCCACTGTAAATCAGTCCACCCACATTGTTTCTGGTCATTTTCTTCTCTTTCCTTCCAAACGTGACCCAATATAACCTTCTATTTTACCTCACTTCAAGATTAATTAGTAGCCTCTCCACGAGCCACGGGTAATCTAGTATCAGATATGCCTTGGAATTAAACTGTGGTTAGTTGATGATCTAGCCTTCCTCACATGGGCTTCGATATCTGTAAACAAGTTACTCTTGTTTTGTGTAACACACATATTATCTTAAAAAATTAAACTGCTGAATGGTATGTAAAAGGATATATAAAACCAGTTTCTTAACCTCTGAAAATATGGAGGTTACATTTATAGATTAAGGAGACCAGTTGTGAGCCTCCCTCATTTTTTTGAGATCTCTAGAGAGTCAGGCTGAGTCATTTATATGATAAAACCCTTGTCAGCACTAGAGTAAATTAAGACGACATTGAAACCTGACAACCCTCAAAATAAAACTCAGGTTATAGTAGCTTTAGCATGATTTAAATTTTCTAGATTCACAGTGTAAATGGTTGTCTAAGAAGTTACCTACTCATAATGATGTTAGAAAAGTTGTGTTCCAGTCCCAATGCTTCTAACTTCTATGTCCAGGATTCCTTCAGACACTCATATGCCAAATATCCATGATAAATTTATTAATATCCTTTTACATGCTGTCATTATTGTTCTAATGGCATATTCTCAAATAGCCTGAGGAGACTGTTGTGAAAATTAAATACCTACTGTGTTCTCAATCCTTTAAACATCAATAAAACCAAATCTAACATTTACTTTAAAAAAGCATGGAATATAAATGGCAGTTAAATGGGGAGCCTATTGAACAAGTTAATTTGTTTACTCATTTAGGAGTGTTTTTTTTTAACCAACCCATGTTGTGAGTAAATCATTTAAAAAGAAATTTGGCAAGGGCCAAGGCAAGCACTAAAATATTATATAAACTATTTAATTATAATTAATTAGCTATCTTAAGCCCCTGAAAGTATTCAGGCCAAAAATAGTTCCGATGTCGACTTATGGTGCAGACTTGTGGGGCCTTGCAAAAGCTATCTAAATTGATCAAGTTCATGTTTTTAAGAAGCAAACTGGGAACTGATAAGAACACGTCAACCCCTGCAGTCAGAGTAGAAACAGGTATCCATTCCATACATATTCAATAATTAAAGTTTTCACACACTGGCAGAAAACCCATTCAATGGATCTTGGTAGACTAAATACTGTATGTTTCATGGAATAGTTAAGGATGGTCCAGCTCAATTTCTGGATAAGCTGGTTTACCAAAGTTTATTCATAGCATTGGTTTTCGACCTAGTATTTACTCTCAACTGCCTCCTAGGCAAGAGAAAATGTTAAACAGAGTCCTAGATATCAATGTCAAACTGGCATTTTATTAGCAAAAAAAAAAAAGTAGATTTTTTTCAATGATTGGCTAATATCAAAATCATTTTCCAAGATACCTGGCAATGAGTTTGACACAATTACTAACAAGGGCCTGTCCTAGAGCAAGATTTGAGTCGTTGGATTCTGTGGCCAGATATGGGTGCTGCCATCACCTGCCATATCACGAGAGGATGTATCATGTTTTGTTTAAGTGTCAACTAACTGTATGTCCCTTTTAGGCTTAGATATTTAACCTCACCAAAGATGGCTCAGCAATTAAAGATGCTGAACTTGTCAGCTGGAAAGCTGACTGGGTGTGAGACCCGAGTGCCACATGGCATACTTGCCCCAGCTCCTGCCCATGTAGCAATTTGAAAGCATGCAAATGCAAGTAGATAAATAGGTACCACTTTGGTGGGAAGGTAACAACGTTCCTTGCGCCTCATGCTGGCCACATGATCACAGAAGCGTCTTCGGACAATGCTGGCTCCCTCAGCTAGGAAAAGGAGATGAGCATCGCCCGCTAGAGTCAGAAATCATTGGACACTTTTACCTTTATTTAACCTCACTACTTAAAAGAAAAGCCCACTGGGATCTGAACTGCAGATTATCCTATTTCCTCCTGCTAAATTTACAGTTAAGGCACTTCAGTTCAGAACCAAAACAGATCAGGGTATCATGTAAAGGTGGTGTGAATTCTTTGTATTTATCACATACGTATTTTATTACAGGATTTTATTTTATCTATTTTACTCTGGAATTAGATTCTATATTTTGTTTTTATTTTATTTTATATGGTCATAAGACGAATCAATGAATAAACTACTGCTATTTTTCCCTTTCATCTTTCTCAGCATTAGAGCCTTCTCCAGAGAGTTAGGTCTTTGTACAGCATTTACATATTAGGTCATTTGTGCCTTGAGTGAGAACTCTGATTTGTTTAATGATCTGTTTGTTTGTTTTCCTGGCTGATCATGGTATCCTCAGAGCAGTGGTGAAATCCAAATTTTTTTACTACCGGTTCTGTGGGCATGGCTTGATGGGCGCGGTTTGGTAGGCGTGGCGGGGGAAGGATACTGCAAAATCCCCATTCCCTCCCAACTCCTGGGAGAAGGATATTGCAAAATCTCAATTCCTACCCCACTCTGGGGCCAGCCAGAGGTGGCATTTGCCAGTTCTCCGAACTACTCAAAATTTCTGCTACCAGTTCTCCACAACCTGTCAGAACCTGCTGGATTTCACCCCTGCCTCAGAGGTCTTCTCCAACATCAAAGTTCAAGAGTTAATACCCTTCCTATCTTGTTCCTTC